ATTATCATATTTATAATAGTCTTCCTTCATTATTAAATCAAAAAAAAAACCTTTAAGACATTTTAACCCATCAGATAAAATTTAATGTCATATTTATATCTGACTCTAGCTTTCTTTCTATACCAAGTTAATTCCCATATTAGAGCGTTTCGATTATCAAACCTCAAGATTTGGTTACAAAACTTAATCACTTCAAACTTGAGCAAAATTTTCTTCCCTTTCTACCAATATCATCTGAATATTGATCTGGATATCAATCTTTGTTGTTTTTAGCAGTTGAAGTGAGTCAATTACAATTAATTGTTGGTCATCAAAATTATTCAAGTAACTTTGTATGAAATTAATTTGCTTGATAGTTTCCACATTTACTCCCAATATAAATTCACAATTAGGTTGCTCTGAGTCTTCAAATTGTATGTCTTGATATATAAAAGCCTGTTCAGGGTTACTCAGTCTCTCTTCTATTATTCCTTGTTCCACAATTTTGTTCGTTTTTAAAAAGTCAATGTAAGGTTCTAATATGGCCCCTTCAGGGTGTAGATAACTTTCATCAACTACCACCGCATCCACTTGTTCAACCAGGTCTTGAGAAGCAATTGTAGCATTCAAGCAAAAATCCTCCTGTTTCTGTGATAAATCTTGTTGTTGTAATAAGTCCTGTTGTGGTAGCATCACTTGATCACATCTATTTTGAAATTTAACATCAAACGATTGAAACATCTCAGTCATTGCGGAGACCAAGTTCTGCAGTTCTCTAACAAGGGGCGGTGGAGGTGAAAAAGATAACGGGGGAGGCAAGTGGAAAATTTCAAAAGTTAGTTGAAATGTCTGAGACCTCAGGGATGTAATCGGTCCCAAAGTTAAAGGCACAATTTTTCTCAGAACCATATTACGTCATTTAAACTCGTTAAGTCGGTTTTGTTTATCATGCGTCTAAGTTTCACCGTTTCCAAAGTTTGGCCTTTAGTGAAAGTGAAGAACGACTTTTCATAGTTAGGTAGCGGTAAAATCTTTCACTTTTCCTCATTCCAACACACGTACGGGGAGAAACTTATTATCCAAGTTAAAGTAAAGTCAAAAATAAAAAGCAAACTTCCAAAGTTGGTTCGTCTGCTTACAAGTAAAACTCACAATTAACTTCAAGTTGCAGCGGTGGCGGCGGCTTCTAGCTTCGCCGAAGCGAAGGCGTCCTGGATCGCGGAGAATCCTCGGGGCTCCGGAGGAGTTCTCACCTACATCGTCCATATAGGACGACTCGGGAACTCAACTCTTACCCCGGGCAGCTCACCTATCCCCTTATGCCCAGGGGAAAGGTATCAAGCCATTTGACAGCTGGTGCTGGCTGTCAAACCGGCTTTTACGCGAAACAGGCGGGAGGCAGCAAACAGCTGTGACCGACGAAGTCGCCTGCCACCGGAAGTCCTCGATGCGTTCTTTTTATTTAACGTGTCCTGTTCTGACCCAGACAGAACACCGGCTGGGTGTTTCGTCCGAAGCAGACAGACCACTCAATAGAAATGATTTTTAAACAGATAACGTTTATTCCAGAAGAAATACCTGGGTCCACGAGGTTGCTCCTGGCTTAACATCTCTCTGTTCATTCCCATAGGTAAATTTATGTTGGATTTTCCCCTCTTCTCCCAAGCGTCACATGGTGGGGTGATTGTGGGATCTCCAGCCGTATGGCTGGATGTGATGCCCAAGAAGAACAAAGGACTCCCCCGAGGCTAGTGTCCAGGGAGACTCTCCATGCCCTTTGGAAGCTCCTCCCCCTGACCTATTACTAACGTTAGGGATACATAGAGCTAGGTTACATAGAGCTATACGAGGTTACATGGATCTATGTGATCCAGAATACTCCCCGCTTGGAAATTTATATTTCCACTACTTACTAACTGAATATGAGAAAATATAGCATTAAGCATACAGTACTCAATGTTAACTAACTTGTGACTACATAGGTAAAAACTTGGTATCAAAACATGCATAATTATTGGTAAATATAAAGCATGCACAATTATGCGAAAAAAAAATAATAAGCAAGTGTTACATCAAACAATGCATAAACACAATACATCATTTGAGGTTTTATCTTCTGGTTCAGTCTCCATCAGCAACGGTACCAAATCGGTGGTCAGCCTGATACAAGAGTCTTTGAGTCACGACCAGACTCATGTGGCTTCACGATCTGGACCTCAGCTTGGCAAAGTAGTTCATCAACTGGGTGGGCCTGTTGCGCAAGTCTCATGGGCCAATAGTTCTGGTATGCGTTCTTGTCCCTAAGTGAGACAAGGCCTTCTTCCTGTAAAAGAAACTGGAACCAAATCTGGAACATAAAAACTGGAACCCAAAGCTTCTCAGGAACAAAGGGAACTGGATTCACAGGATACTCAGGAACTGAAGAACCTGGAAAAACAGGAACAGCTGGGTCTGGAAACACAGGAACCGCTGGATCTGGAAACACAGGAACA